TTGTAGGTACTACATTTTATTTATCCAAATTTTAAATAAAAAATCTATTTATATGCCATCACTCAAACAATAATTAATGACAATGCAACCTCCATAGAAATATAATTTTCTTATAAAGTTATCATTCAAAATAATGAAAATGAGTCAAGTTCGCAATAAATCATATGTAAATTTTTTATTGGTCAATTATATGTTAACATAGATAAATGCAAATTTTGAAAAAAGGAAGAAAATATATAAGTATATACACTTATATTGAATTATTGTCTAAGTAGTTATGTAAACCAATTAACTAGTTCGTGAAATATTGAATTCAATGAGTTTTTGGGTAGTATTGGCAAGTGTCTTTATTTTATATAAAAATAAAAATAAAAATAAAAAAATCACAATATGTCATATCATATCTTTAATTCAGAAGAAAAATGTTATATAAATTAATAAATTTTATAAATTTCTCTTATTGATGTAGTACAACATTACTGAATTCGGAAAGTCAGATTCCATGTGGGTTTTCATGCTATATTCCCTTTTAGACAACTTGGATTTTAGGTCAATTGAAAGCATTACTATCTCTTTATGCAAAAGACTAACCACAAATCTTCCGTTGCCTTGATGAAGATTTTCTATTTGCCTAAAAGAATGTTGTCTTCACTACTATAGGCTATTTTGGTAACTAAGTTAAAAGACAACTTATTAATTTTTTGATTTTTTAAAATTGCATCACTTTTTTATTTTTTTACACATTTATTCAAAAAAAATCAAGAAATTAACTTTTAACTTACTTCTCAAAATAGGCCTATATTAATAATTTTATTAATTTAATTTTTTGTGTCATTGTCAAAAGGATTGACAGTAGGAATGGCAACAGACCAGGACGGGGACGGAGATTGGCGGGGCCGGGGATTACACTCCCCGTCCCCGATCCCCGAAAATATAAAATTTCCCGTCTTCACCCTCTATCCCTAGCGGGGAACTCATCACTCCCCCTGCCCTCGTCCTCACCTCCGAATGGGGATCGGGGAAAAATCCCCATACAAAAACATTAGCATCAACATCAACATCAACATCAACATCATCAACAACAACATCATCAAACAACATCAACAACAACTTCATCAACATCATCAGAGAGAGAGAGAGATCTATCGTGGCGGAAGGAACCAACGCCGGAGTATGGAGGATCGATGACTCTAGCATCACGGCAATAGCGGTGGCACGGAAGAGGAGGCGACGGTGTTCTCTCTGATTCGGCGATGGCAGTGTTTTCGTTGATTCGGTGCTCTGTCTCTCTCTTTGCTCTCTACTCTCTTTCTCTCTCTCTCTTTTTGCATTCTTTTTGCTCTCTCTCTCTCTATCTTTGCTTTTATTCTATTATCTGATGGTGGATAGAGGAATATATATAAATGGATATAGGGGTATATATGTAATTTCCATTCAGGGAAAACGGGGCCAAAGCCGAGGATAGGGACGAGCTAAAGCCGGGGCTAGAAAATGTATCACTGTCCCCGACTCAAAAATTATCGAGGATTCATTTTCGAATACTATTCCTGACGGGGATATTTTTCGGAGAATAATCAAGATCAAAGAGTCGGATCCCTATCAGGCTGGATTTAAATTTCTATCCTTAATTGCCAGGCTTTATTTATATCGAAGATAAAGTTTGATAAAGATTTGTTAGCTGAGTTTATTTTTTTAATAGCTTAACTGACAGGATCAGTACAACTTAGAGAAGTCTGTTCAAGTCTTGTCACTGTGTGGATGGCGTGTTCACAGGTCGGTTCAGACCGGTTTCACTATTAACTCGCCACCCAAACCGACCATCACGGGTGGGAGAATTTAACGTTTGATTTCGACCAGAGACAATTCGAAATCACAAGCATCAAGCCTTATGGTTTGTTGGTCGAAATCGGTCAAATTCTCAGGTGATTTTTCCATCAGCAGCTTATCCTCCTCTCACGCATAAACAAATATACATACAGACAGATTTGTGAAAGACAAAGAAAGTGAGAAGATTGTTGTGGTATGTTGTTGACATTCATAGCTTTTCGATCTAATCCAAGAGCATCAAAACAGAACGATCTAGATAATAGTTGTTGATGACCGAATGGATCTAGATGCAATAAACCATCAAAATCAGAGAGGGATTGAAAGAGAGTGTGTTTGGAGAGGGGAGGGATGAGAGAGACAGAGAGAGAGAGTGGAGCTATTATGGGTGTGTTTGGTTTGGGTGTGTTTGGTTTGCTTTTGAAAGAGTGATTTTCAAAAAAAGTTTTAGGGAGAGTTTAGAATTTTTTTTTTTTTTTTTGATTGTATATTTTGAAAGTAGTTTTAGAGTTTGGGATGATTTGATATTTCGTTGTAATTGAGTAGATGTGAGTGAGAGAAAAAATAATTGAGAAGAAGAGAAGAGAGAGAAAAAGTTATTGATTAATGTATAAGAAAAAGAAAATAATTTCAAAAAAAATTTTGAAGAAAACCACAAACCAAACAAAATTTTTTAAAAAAAAAAATTCAAAAACAATTCTCCCAAAAGCAAACCAAACAAGCCCTACAATTCTGCGAGAAGAAACGAAGAGTAAACAAGAGACAAACAACCATACATAAAACATGTATATATATCCCAAACATCATGTATATCATAACGTCATGCATGTATACATCATGTATATTAAATATAGGAAAAATTACTAATAAGTTCTAAATGGAGAAAAGTTAAACAATTTGGTCCTAAGAGTTTTCTTGTACACCAATTAGACCTATTTTTTTGGTTTTTTTTTTTTTTTTAATTTTACATGTGTACCCTTGATTTTGTTTTTCTAATTGACTGATTCAGTTTCAGATGGGGATAAGAAAATGTTATCTTCGGGATTCCATTTTTGAATTGTTTAACATTGTTCTCATTATTTTGGGGGAAGAGTGTGTTGTTCTTTTTGTTTAGGGGTGAGAGTGTGTTGTTCTTTTTGTTTAACATTGTTCTCATTGGTTCCGTTTTTTGTTTTCCTAATTGATTGATTCAAGCGTTGTTACGGCAATTATAGTGTAACAAGTGCGTAATTTAATTGTTGTTGTGTTGGGATTTTTTTTTTTTTTTTTTTTTTTTTTGTGGGGGTTGTGGGGGGGTTTTTTGGGTGGAATTTTTTTTTTTTTTTTGTTTTGAGGGGAGGGGAGGGTTGTGTTGTTTTGTGAGTGATAACTGCGGGTGTGAATGATTGTTTTGTGTGTTTTTTTTGCCGACATTAATATCACTTACGTTATGCCAATTGGTCTTTAACACTGGGGTGAGACTTATTGGTTCATAAGATTAAAGTTAGGACTAAATAAATCAAAAGATTGAAATTTGAGATTTATTGGTTTATCTCCCAATAATATATATATATATGTATATATATAATTAATCACATGTATCCATGTATTGAAAACATCAATCTAACTGTGTTATAGGGTTAGGCACTAGACTACCTTATTATTATTCAAACATTTATGAAGTTTTTTTTCTTCCATTTGAAAAATAGAATAATACTATATACATTAATTAGTATATTAATTAGTATATCAATTGATAATGTGAAATAATTCAAGAAATTTTTAATATTTATAATTTATATAATAAGTAGAGTTAATAATAATGTTATAACTACTATTAATATATTAATTAATACATTAAATAATATATGTAGTACCACCGTTTCAAATATGAAACGAAAAGAAAGAGAAAGGTCTAACATTTGTTTTTTTTGAGTCATGTCTTACTTTTTCTGTAATTGATATAGAGACTCAAAAGTTTTGGTTATCATTATCGCGTGAAGAAGGGTGAGGGTTGGTTTGGGAAGTGGGTTAGCTTTTTAATTTTTTGATTTTTTTAACTAGTTAGTTTGGGTTAAAAAACTTAGTTTGGGAAAGATTTTTTGACTTTTTTGACTTTTTTTGTTAGAGAAAAGTATAATGATTATAGGTTGGATGTGATATTTTGTTTGTTGTAACTAAAATAGTTTATTTTGTCTTTTGTGACTATTTTAGCCACAAATCATCTTCCCAAACGGACCCTCATATTTCTATAAGCCTATTGGACTATTTTTCAGGCAGTTCATATTTAGTCAGTTTCGAAGGAATACAACCTTCAGTTGACCAAAACATTGATAAATTTTACATATAAGGACCAAGCCGACTTTGGAGGCTTTTCGAAACCGATCATAATCATTCAGCTCGATTCGGATTGATCGATTTCGTCAGTTGATTTGATTTTTTAAACACCCCTAGTGGATAGTGATTCTTTTTTTAAGTAATACCTAGTGGATAGTGATTCGCCTAGCTATACATAGCAACTTTTGAACTTATATTCAAATTTGTATTATTTTGTGAATGTGGATTTTCCACACATAATTTCAACTGAGTTTTGAAACACATTCAAATTTCATTAGTGATTGACAAATGTGAATGGATATAGTGTATAATAATTAGTTCTGAAGTATTTACACATGACACTCTAAATACATTGAATAATTTTTCGTATAAAAAAACATGCATTTGAGAAATAAAATTTTAAAACGGTTTAAAGATAGGAGAAGACTTATTTTAAACCGGTCACGATTGTATACCATCCAAATAAGTCAAATTATTTAATTTATTAACTTGCAAAAATAAAAGTTAACTATTGATGTTTAATTGTAATTTTAAACTATAACTTAATTATTCTTTAACTTCTATTTGGCCCAAAAACAGAAGAAAAGATTATTCTAACTGCAATTTGTAGTTTCTTTTTTAACTTAAAACCCATCTTTTTTTTTTAAACTTAAATACATATAAAAAAAAAAAAAAAAAAAGAGTCTTCTGTGTTTTAATTATAACTTTGATAATATTTTATATTTACACAATAACAAAAGTATGTAACAACTTATTTAATCAAACAAATTCAACTTTCTTCATAGATAATCAGACACTGCACCAAAAGAACTTACAACTTATTTTATTTCTTTTGTAGTAACAATTTAAAAAGATAATCATAAAAACTAACCACCAGGGTAATATCGATGTAGAAAATCTTCATATTACATTTACAACAAAGCACGTTTGTGTTGCAGGAACAGAGCCAAAACAAAAACAAAATCAAAATTAATTTGACTTGCAAACTCAAATTCAGACTCAGATTGATTGTATGAAACATCTACAAACAAGAATGTTCAAATAATCCATTTATACAACTACTTTTCTAAATTTCCAACAAGACTCCCAATTAATGTACAAAGTTCCCGCTTGACGACAGAGCAGATAAAGAGTACAAAACTCCCATGCAAAATGCTGAAAGATATTACTGGCTATTATGTATTGCTGTTTCTCGGAAATCGCACACAGGAACGTCAGATTTTCGGCATCGGTAGTGCCAACTTTTGCATTGCTGAGGAGCTGGCTGTCGCTCGAATGATGAGAATCTGGACTTTCCGGAGCCGGAGGTGGTTGACTTGAATCAGGACTTTCGGGTGGTTGACTTTCAGGAGGCATGATTCCTGAACTTCCTGTATCATCCTTTGGAGCATCATCACCATCTCCATCATTTCCATCGTTTTGTTCACTAGAATTCCCACCACCACCACTAGTATCCTCTGAGACACCGCGGACCAAGTCCGGCCGAGGTTCAACACCTACTCTTCTCAGGTGAAGCTGTCACATTTGTAGTGATCAGTTGAAAAAGTTTGAGAAACTCCAATTAAAAAACACTACAACTACTAATACTGCTACTACCAGTGGCACTCCTTCCTAGGATAACTACAAGTCAAGTCAAATCATAGTTGCAAAGCGAGGGGCCTATAGAGGAGTTTAAGGTTAAGAGTGGGCGTGGTGGTGTTAACAAGCTTCCAGAGGAAGGAGTGAGGCCCCCCATAGGTGTTTATGCTACTAAGGTGGAATTTAGCAATTGTTTTTTTAGTTGCCTATTTGCTTTTTTAGAACCTTAAAAAGTTGATGCGGTTGGTAATTACTAAAAATTATTCTTTTTTGTTAGTAGAAATGTTGGTTTTTTTAGCTTTTTTTAGTTACTTTTTTAAGTTCAAGACAGACTTTTTTTGTCTTTTGGCTTATTTAGCCAAAAAGTAGCTTTTTTTAGCCCATGCTAAACATCCCCTAAGAGTCTAACACAAGTGGTAGATAGAAGCAGTAACAGAAACTTCAAGAACATACCTGAAGATGAAGATTAACTTCATCTGGCCGCGAAAGAAATGGAAAATCGCCCCCACTCTTCAAGTATGCTCGCCTTGCTCCAGGATACTTTTCACTCACTTGATCTTTGAGTTGTTGGGGGGTTGCACAATAGTCGTTGGTCTTCAAGGAGGAGCACATACCCGTGTTATTAAAAAGCAAACAACAACAACAACAAAACTATCAGCAAAGTTTCCTATTCTGTTTCTATTCTACTCAAGCTAGAAATAACCCACAAAAATTGTAACATGCAATGAGAAAAAAAAATAGATAAAAATTTCAACCACTCAAAAAGACATGCATGGCATTTTAACGAATATGATAACCAAACCAAACCAAATTAAGGCTCATGTCCCAGTCAAGTAGGGTTGGCTACATGGATCTTTTTTCACCATTGTGTTGTATTAAAGACTATATGCTCAGTTGATTTTTTTTTTTTTTTACTAAGACGTCCATGTCTATTTAGGTCTTCCCCTCCTCATAACATTTACATTTATAGTGATTATATCACTCTTCCTTACAATTGAATCCATAGGTCTTTGTTATACATGACTAAATCATCTTAGCATCTTCTCTCTCAACTTATCTTCAACTGATAGTCCCAGTCAAGTAGGGTCGGCTACATGGATCTTTTTTCACCATTGTGTTGTATTAAAGACTATATGCTCAGTTGATTTTTTTTTTTTTTACTAAGACGTCCCATGTCTATTTAGGTCTTCCCCTCCTCATAACATTTACATTTATAGTGATTATATCACTCTTCCTTACAATTGAATCCATAGGTCTTTGTCATACATGACTAAATCATCTTAGCATCTTCTCTCTCAACTTATCTTCAACCGATATTACTCCTACCATTTCGCGAATATATTCATTTCTAATCTTATCTTTCACACATCCATCAGTAATCAATTTAAAGAAGATGATGACAAGGTAAAATTTTGATTAAATTTGCAAGATCAGATAAGGCAACAGCGACATTCACCAATCAGCATCATGGCAGAATTTGTGCATTGACAGACACATTTGAGACTACTGCATATCCTTATCTTGGAAAAGTAAGAATTAATTTTTCAGTCAGCCCAACTAGCATGTGGATGCCAAAGCTTAGCTTATGCCCACATAGCATATGCATCATTTTGGTACAATTTTTCAGATTGTCTACACCAAAACCAAAATAAAACCATCAAAATAGTCATCAAAAGAAGGCTGGTGTTACATACATCAATTATAGTTATAAGAGCATCTGAAAGCAGAAGAGGTCCAACTGAAGCATCATCTGTTGTTAAAGTCAACCTTGATCCTAAGTCATCTTTTGAGAGGGTTTCAACCTGCATGACATTTGAACAGTGCAATGTAAGAATAACATAAAGCAACTTCTTCCGTTTGGTGAATAGACTCTGCAGTTGACAGGATGTGAAATGAAGATGGCAAGTCATAAATGCGATGGCTCATTTAGCCCTCTTCTAAGTCAAGTGTTCTCTAAGATGGAAAGCTCTGATCTATACAAGGGGGGAAAAATGAAAATCAATTAAAATATGAGAAGCATTTAAAGAACAAATAGACAGCTAACTGAGTTTTGATCTATGCATACTACTGCATTAAGCTAACACCTAAAAGAAACTCCTTTGAAAACCATTAAAAACATGAGAATGATTAAAAGCATCTTTCAAGGAAAGGAGTATTCATATACACTGAATGTAGCTAACACCTCATTTGGGGATCCTCTTTTTTGAAGCTACGTTTGTCTTCCCTAAAACCAACTAATTTATTAAATGACACTCTACATTCTTTCCATCTACTAGGGAAATGCGGTGGAATTTCGTAATTTTATCAAGGCATTGTTTGGAACTTGAAATTAGTAAGGTAAAAGGAAAGGAAAATCTTTATCCTTCGTGTTTTCCCTCCTACTTAAAGCAAAGTTAGATTGACATTTTTCATGTAATAATAAAAATTCGTGCAATGAGGAGAAGAAGAAATTATGCTTGGAACAAAAAATTCCTCACATACTTTCAAACAAGGAACAATAATTTCCTTAGGCATTATCTTTTACTTTTCCCTTTACCAAATTCATGAACCAAATGGATCATAAAAGAATTTTAATTTGAATACCCACTTTTTTGCGGAATTACAAGAGGGTGGAGTATAACTAAAAGAGAGGTTGATGGTAAGTTTAAAATAGTGAGAATAACTACTCATACAATGCAAAGAGAAGTGGCAACTTTAAAAGAAAATCATTTAAATGGAAAAGAAATTATTGGACAATGTTAAATTAAAGTGAGTGGTGCATGACACTGTTCTATGAAGGCAGACTCATATTCCAAAATCTGCTATTCAAAAAACATGGAAAAACAAGAGACCTATGAAACCTGAAAGGCAATGCCATATAAACAGATTTCCAAATGGGAGTGAGATCAAAATCTCACAATTAAGCAATTGATGTTGTCTCCATAGTTCAAAAGTAAATGGTAGTAGCATTTTTCTTCTAATATAACAAGCTATCTTCACACAACAGTCTCATTCCATGGTGACAAATCAACAAATAAGGAATAGTAATGGCAGATTGTTTAGGCACATCTTACAGATAAACTACTAGTAAACAGTTCACTTGAGGTTTTGAGACTTGACCTGGGAAACAACGAAGTCTACAGAATCAGCAATAAATGGTTCATGGGGACCATCTCGGATTCCCGTTAAGACATATCGCTTCAGCAAAAAAGAAGGGGCCCAGCCAACACTGCCAGCCAAAATAGAACAGGTTAGCAGGTGAAGTTTTGATATATTCAGGGAACATATGGAAACTTGCCTTCTTGAGGTAATGATTGAAGAATTACTAAGCTTTACCCTAATAGTCATTCTCTATCAAATTTTATTGTCCTTAGATAATTTATTGCTTGTACCAGAATAACCTAAACATTAATAATTACAACATTATTTTAGCTAACAGTTTTTAAAGTTAGAACTTTAATTTTGAAGTTAGTAATATTAGTTTCACTATTTGACTTATAAAAATATGTCTATTCTATGAAAAGTATAGTGAAACGGCATGCAAAACTAATACTTGATGGGGAGGATTATTTCATCGTTGGCGACATCTACTGACCATAAGAACAATTCAGCCCACCGTAAAACAAACTACAGCTTGATGGTAGTAAAATTTTCAAAATTCACTGCACCTTATAATTATAAATAAGTTTCATTAGTTATGAAACTAGCCGTAGAGAATGAGGAAAAAAGACTAGACATAGATAGGAACACAGTGAAGATCTTAGCTCATAGTATAACAATCAACTAAATGGTAAAAACATTACCCTTATTTCATGTATTTCCCTTGAACCCATACCTAAATGTGGTCCATTAGGTAAGCCAAAGGCACTCCTGCCTTCCTAAGATCCCACAAAACCCAGCCTACAGTTCTGACATATTAGAAATGACAATCTACAGAACAAGCAGTCTCATTAAATAAACAATCACTGTAACTCTTATCAATTCTCGAGTCTTTTTAAGCCAACATACTAAAGTTAAAGTTACTCTTAATTATCTCCCAAAAGCAGATAATTCCAAGAAATTATTCAGTGACTTGAATTCCTTGAACGTTTAACTGTGAATAAAAATAAATAATACTCACAAATTCAGCAACAAAGTGTTGAACAAACTTGATTAGTTAGAGATATTATGAAAGGAAACATATTTCATTATGCCACTTAGATTGTTTAGCACAGCGCAGTGCAGTGCAGTAAGAAGTTTGTCATAGCATGATTATTCAGCAACAAAATAAATTGAATTAGCCTTATGTTGTGCAGAATGCCTGGAATTAGTAATACTACAAATAACCAGAAAAGATAATAAACTGAAAATTAAATTATCAGAAATCAACCAAAAAATAGAACGGAAGTAGCCATTTGGCATCTCCAGCTAGGAAAGCAATTTAGTAATCTCCATCTCATTCACAATAAGTGATATGATAACATACATGGGTGCCCATGGCATTGAAGCCGCGAAATTACGTGTCTCCAAAAATGAATTCGAGAGTACCAATGATTTAACACGACGAGGACGATGCTGAGCAAAAAGTTGTGCTAAGAATCCTCCAAGGGAAGTACCATAAAGATGTACCTGTTAGATATAGATTTTCAGCCTACTGTCATTACAAATACACAACAAAATAATGCAATCTTTATAAATCTCAGTCACATGATAAATATCTCTGATTCTCAATCTTCTCTCCTCGACATGAAAACTCGATTCCTTTATTTGAATCATGACAGGAAAGTGCTTCAATGTTGTGAGCTATGAACGGCAATGTCTTCTTCCGCCAAAAACTGGCTCAATCAACTTGCATTCCCAAGTCAATATTATCCGATGAGCTAACAGGTGCCATATGTGTTTTAGAGGCCAGTATACTCTATCCTAAAAAGTAGCTGAAAATAAACCTCTTGACTGGAAAAGAAAACTATCCTATAAACTTCATGGCTGCCTCCCCCAGCTGAGGCACCTACTGCAGTATTTGTTTTTATCCAAGAGCAATCAGGAATTCATGGCGATACAGATTATTTTAAAAGTCACCTAAAATATAAATTAATTGTTTTCTTTTTTGTTCCTTTAGGCTCTCTAACATGTAAGGTATGCAAAGCATGAACCATTTGTTTATATCCTATCTGTCTGTCTCAATGCTAGGTCTTTGACATGAACTTGAACATCAGTGACCCTGCACATTATTTCAATTCAAGATTATCATGTGCTTTATAGTCCTTAATAAATGATCTAGTGACTCTTTCTCAATGACTATCACAATTTTACCCAATTTCAACATTCCATTACATTTGGATTCTAATAGAAGTATTACATCTTTGCTTTGGTGCTAGCATGTGAGAGAAAAGTGTCTTGTAGAAGTTGATGATATGCATAAGATTAGAATATGCATAAAAAGAAAACATAAACATTACGTGATGAATATCAATGGCATCCAGAAACTTTTCAAATGCTTGAATCCATTCATGATGGCTCCATACGCGTGGAATATCAACAGAAATCACTCGATAACCCTGAAAAAGAAAATTTGTAAGTTATTTACATCCCTGTGTATGCCATAAAATTATTTGCAACATTTGGACCTACAACAATCAGATGTGTCAAGAATCTAAAGAACATGAAAAGCTGATACAACTAATTCAAAGGAAGTATCTTTTATCCTAAAAGCATATGTCAAAAACATGTGCTCAGGATAAATGATGAAGGTATAAAGAATTTAGATTGACCACTCTACACTGGAAACATAATATAGAGTTTAGTCAAGGTTTCACTGATAGAGTGAGCAGAATTATCAAGTACATCTGTGAACCAGATGTAGATGGACGGGGAAGGGGAGAAGAAGAGGTTGTGTTACCTCCAAAAAAAAAATCCAGTCCCTGCACGTGGAGAACAACTTTCAAAATAAAATATGTCATGTTTTCCAATATTTTCCCAATATTTTTGGGAAAAATCATGAAATTTAGGAATTTGAAACCACAAATGGAGTTTTCTCATATACCAGTTTATTTTCCCATATTCTTCAGCGAAACAGACAAAGTCATAGCTATTAAAAGTACTTTGTAACCTTCTCAAAGCAACCTCCTCTGCTATGTTGAAGGAAATGAAACATAATTTTTAGCCTATTGCAAACACTAGTGGTGATATTCCACAAGAAAACTACACCAAAAAATAAGAGTGATACTCCCACCTATGAAGCATGAACACTCCAAAATCGGTGCCATGACGGCGTCCGACACGGGGGCACGCCGAGGACACGTACGGGACAAGCCAAATGGCATATCCCTTTAATATAATGATTTTTTTGTAAGGGACACGGCGGGGACACGGGTGTCCATATTGGGGACACGGCATGGGGCACGGCGGGACTCAATTTTAATTTTGTTATATTTATTTGGGGTCAAAGTGTAATATTTAAAAAGTAAAAAAATAAATAAATCAACTTGCCCTAATATATTCAATCAATGTTGCTGAATTGAAGAGTAATTAATCGATTAAAGAGTATCATCAGTGCCCTAAACCAGTCGATCCACCACTTCCTTGAACTAGTCAATCGAAGCTCCATCCAGTTGATCCACCAATCGAAGATCGAAGCTCCATCCAGTCGAAGATCGAAGCTCCATCCAGTCGAAGATTGAAGACCTCCATCAATTGATTGAACAGTCAAAAACCCCAAACGACTTTGAAGGTAAGCATCTCTCTCTCTCTCTCTCTCTCTCTTTGGGGTCCTTTATCTCTTATATATATATATATATATATAAGTATATATAACATAATATATACTACTTATACATATTAATAAAAAAAAACACATGTATATAAAATAAAATAAAATAAAAAATTACCAAAAACACATTATTTAAAAAAGGAAATAAATAAATAAAATAATTAACGTATATTAAAATAAAAATATTTATAAAAAAAAATTGTCGTGTCCCATGCCGTGTCCGTGTCCGTGCCCCCATTTTTTGGAAATTGCCGTGTCCCGTGTCCGTATCCGTGTCCGTATCCGTATCCGTGCTTCATAGCTTCCCACTCTAGCGCCTTTCTTTTCCCCTCATATTTTGCATTAAAACACATTATAGTTTTCATTTCTTCCTCTATCAATGTACTAGGCTTCTCAATTGAAAATTCTATCTTGGCCTATGTTACCTCGAACGTGGATCATTCCGATACGGGAAACGGGAATGTGGTACGCCACATGCTCTAAAATTTGGTATGCCACATGCTCTAGGGGTAAACTTGTATATATCATACTTGCAAATTTAAAGTACTTTTAGAGTAATTTTCTTTAAACTATTAGGCATCTAATAAAATTTAGCTTTTCTTCTTTTTATAGTAAAGCATTTCTATAAGTACTATGACCCATTTTTTATGTGTTGTCTTGTCAAAACTTAATTTACTTTAGATTTTAATTCACTATATTTGATTTTTTTCCTCCTAAGGAAACATTTAAGAAAATTTATTGGAAAAAAACTTTTGGGGTTGTTTCATATTGCTAAATTTACTGTTTTGGAACGAAAGTGTACCATATTTTGGAACATGCGTACCAATACGTAATTCGCTAGGGTATTAGCATTTTTTGGTAACATAGATCTTGCCCCAGAAACTCCTTAAGTTACAAAAAAACTGTGTTCAAACAGATTCCTTGCTTAAAAGCAACTGGCAGCTTCAAAATTATGTTGTATGACTGCCCACAAATATGAAAAACCATGTATTCCAAAGTCCCTAATGTAAATCCTTAAAGGAATGTGTGGGAGGGAAGAAAGGGAAAAAGAAAACCTAATACGATATGGAAATTATTATGCAAGAAGTAAGAACATCAAACTTACAACCCCATTGAATTGAAGTCACTTAATCTGCTACTAGTATACATAATAAGATATAAACATATCTTATAAAAAAATATAGCACAGATAACATAAATAAATCAATCTTACTACCTTCATTGACAAAGACATAATCTGCTTGTAGTACACATCGGCTGTTCCTGCTGTGCCAGGAAGACAGATGAGTGGAGGAACAACTTTTGGACCAAAGTCATAGTATCGCCACTGCTTTGTGCCAATCTAAAAAAGACAAGAAATTTATAATTGAAATGCATCACCAGAAACAATAATAGCAGCTCAAGAAGAACTCACTTATATATGTCATCAATGTCAAAAAAGAAAATTTCATCTATATGAATCCAGTACTACTGTAATTCTAGTGATCTTGTAATTGCATAAGCCAAGCAGCAACAATTTCCCAACTCAAGTCAGTCAATGGCACGAAATATCAAATTAGACACACACACACACAAAAAAAAAAAACTTAGGATAATCCTGATCATGCTCCAATTCTCTAGTGCATCACAACTCTACTTCAAGACGTAGTCATCTCAAATTCCACTTAGCTCCATCCAACAAAAAATAAGAACCAGCATGGACAAATGACCATTTAGTAGAAAAAATTGAGACTGCCTAGGGACACTCCAAAAGACATAAGGAAGTTCATGGATGAGATAAATCATTAAACATCAACAGAACAAGGGCAAGAAGCAAGTTTTGTTGAGAAAAATAATGGAGAGCAGCCCAATCAGTTCTATTATAAATCCAGTGATCAAAAAGTCCAAAGATGTGGCCAGAGCAAGAATTCCTAGCATTTCCATCAATTGCATAGAAAGTAGTAAATTGATAAACCAAAATAAAAATGAGTTTGGTTGACAATGAAAATAGAAACCTGTCAAAAAAGCAGCCAAGTATATGTTCAATAAATCTACTTAAAAGGCATATCCAAACTCAAAAGTCTTTAATTTTTACAAGTTCAAGTCATGAAACGCATACAATTTCGACAAATAAATATGTACCCAATTCCCAAAATACAAACGTAATTGGAAATTGACCTAGTTGGGAAAAAAGATGAAACCAAGAAACATAAAACAATCTCAGAAAAATCCAAATCCATGGTCATCAAAGAGATTAAAACAGAAACAAAAGCATACCCAGTTGATAAAAGAACATAAAGAGTGAAACCCATGATCGAGAATTGAAGGAAAAGTAGAGAAAGAATCGAAAGAGAGAAAGGACTTACAGGGATCTTGTGAAGGGGAACCTGAGACTTGAAGTAGATGTAATCACCGGGCGCCGAAAAGACGCCTTTCATTGCCGATTTCAACAGTTTCTATATCGTCCCCATCACCAATCCAATAAATACCTACAAAACCCACAAGTCATATATTCATCGATCGAATGATTGATTGCTCTCTCTCTCTCCTCTCTGTCGGGCAAGCTGTTTTGTTCCAAATTGGTGTAGAGATGGAACACGTGCTGGGTCCCGCTTAATTTCACCAGACATTCAACGGGTTTAGTTTCAATTTTTTAATTTAATTTTTTAAAAATTACGGCAGTGTTTAGAAGGCTTTTAAAAGGATTTTTATTGATAAATCTTATGTAGGGAGGTTCTATCTCAATAAGTCTACAAAGAAAAATTATAATTTAATTAGTCTTATGTGTTTATATTTTTATTACATAAGATCCTTTTTTCTTGATTTATATTTTTTATTGAACTATTATACTATTTTTTCTATATGTTGATATATATTATATACAAAATAATATACACGTTTCCCTCTGTTTTTGTTGTAGTAGGATTTCGTTCCTATAAGAGAGAAGACGACGGCACATAGTTTGCGGTAGTGTTTCATTGCGATACGGTTTCATTCCTGTAGAAGAGAAGATGACGATTCAGAGTTTATGCTTTGTTTGTTTTTTTTTTTTTTTTTTTTTGGTTTTTTTTTGCCATAGTTATGATTTCAGCCAAAAATCAAAGGAAGAGAAAAGGATTTGAATCAAAGAAACAGGAGTAATGGCTTACAAACTTGTTTAGTAGATTGACTAAAACTCACATTCAACTGGATTGAATCAAAGGAAAATACGATATGGATTTGAATATTTGTTCTTCGAAGGTGGGTTTAATTTGATTTGGATTGGTGGAATGGTGAGATTACACGGGTTGTTAATGATAGTGATATGATGAAGCTGAAGATGTGGGTGATAATTTTTTGTTTTCAGAGAGATTGAGTTTTTTTTTTTTGGATTTATAGTTCTATTGCTGCCATTATTTTTGGTTTTTCTGTCAATCAATATGAATGTTCACATTTCACATTGTTTGGAAGCTTAAGAAATTAGTGTTAGAATTGTGTGTTGGAAATGGTTAATTTTTCCTAAGTTAGGTCTATTTTTTAGGTGGGCCCCGAGTGTCGATTTACTCGGGTCAAAGTGGTAACGCGTTCTATGCCGCGTTGTGATTCACGTGGTATATTTGGTTGCTCAAAACCATTACCGAGTGAATGGGAAATTGAAGCCAAAGTGTGCTCCATGAAAATGGAGTTTTGGTGGAAATCCCTTAAGGTTGTAAATTGGCTTTCTCTTCTTTTTCTTTATTTCTTTAAATTCTATTTGTTGTTGTGTACACAATAGAATTAAATATTTTAAATACAGTGAAGATTGTCCAACATTGTGAAGAATGAGGTTTCTGATACAGTAATGTAGCTTTCTTTATAAAGAAATAAGGAGTGTTTGGTTTGATTTGGATTGCTGTAATGGTGGAATTGTAAGATGTGTTAATAATAGTGATAATGATGAAGATGGAGACGAAAATTATGAAGATACAGAGGAGGATTTGTGTAATGGTTTTTTTATTTTTTTGAGAGATTGAGATTTTTGAATTTGAAGAAGACGAATACTGTGCTCTGTTTGATTACATTGTCTTAAGGTTAGTATGTAATGGATGCATGTCATTTGTGATTGGATTTATATGAAGGGTTGTATGCTCTGTTTTTTGCTTCCAATTTCATTTTCTATAATTGATGGACATGCAAGTTTTTTTTGGTTGTATGGGGTTATGGATTTTGGCTGGTTATATGGTTGAGTTATGGCTCTGTTTTTTTAAATGTGGTGAATATTCACATCGTATTAAGAATGTGAATGTATATGAATGATTGTATGATCTATTTCTTGCTTTCAACATCATTACCTAAATTAAATTTTGGTTTGTTATATGGGGATATGGGTTTTCCTGGTCATGTATATTGTGAGGCATGCATGTGTGTGATGTGAATATTTACATTCTTGTTGCCATTGACAGTATCAAAGTAGTTAACATGAATATTTATATCACTATAACCATTCACATTACCAACACATTACCAAATTATTTATGTGAATATTCAGATTTGTATTATGAATTGTCATTGTGAGTGTTGTTTGCTAGCAAAACGGGATGTTGTTGTGTATATTACGATGCATGCATGGGTGCGGTGTGAATATTGACATGTCTGTTACCATTTACAACATGAAAACATATGATGTGAATATTCACATCATCTGCAATGTGCTATTTAATGTGAATATTCATATTCTTGTTACCACTGACAACATCAAAGTAGTTAACATGAATATTTATATCATTGTAACGATTCACATTACCAAATCATTTAATGTGAATATTCAAATTTGTATTACGAATTGTCATTGTGAGCGTTTTCTGATAGCAAAACGGGATGTTGTTATGTATATTATGATGTATGCATGGGCGTAGTGTGAATGTTGACATGCTTGTTACCATTTACAACATAAAAGCATATGATGTGAATATTCACATCATCTGTAACTATTAACATCATCAAATTATTTGCTGCGAATATTCACTTATGTGTTAAGAAATATGATATTCACACCAGTTACATTGTGTTACAATAATATTTTAAGTAATATTCACATCCACGTGAATGATCAACACGAAATAGGCCTCAAAATGCATATACATATATTGAATGAAAAATTGGAGTACAAGCATTGATACAGAATTGATTTACACTTAAGCTAGTCTGCTCCAATATGTCAAAACTATTGATACTAAATTGTCTTAAATGTGGATAACAATTACAAGTGGATACCCCCCACCTATAGGTTTTCATATTGCACTGTCTTTGTGTGATTCAGAAAAATGTGTACAATAAGTCTCTTATTTGACACCATTCAAAGCGATTAAGGCTGTCAACAATTTCCTCACGGTATACATGCGCCCTGATGATGTAACACACTGCGGGCCCGCAATCCACCCTGAAAATGCAAAGTTGTTATTATTAGAATTTGAAATTTAGGTGTGTATAATGGTTATGGAAGATGTGTACAAATTGATGTAGGGCTTACCATTGGTTTGTAGTCATTATCAATATCTAACAATCTGATGTAAATATTGACATTGTGTACAATAAAATTCAGATTGAACCAAAAAAGAGTTGACAACTATTCAAGATTAGGGGCTTTTCATCAACAAGCAACAATACTAACAACTTTGTTAATATCTACATCATATTCCATTGATAACAGGAGGTGAATATTGACATTGATGTTAGAATGTGAATATTGACATTATGTTCAGAATGTAATTATTTCATCACCATCAACAACCAACAACATTAACAAATATGACATTGACACAAGGGAGGAGATAGGGAGTGTATTACAAAGAGTGTACTACACATGACAATTTAAGACACAAGTCATTATCAATATCTAACAATCTGATGATATTGTACAGATTATGTATAATGAGATACACATTGAACCAAAAGAGAGTTGACAACCATCCAAGATTAGGAGCTCTAATTGCTTTATAACCATTAACACACAATAATATCAACAACTCTGTAAATATTTACATCATATTTCATTGATGTTAGAAGTTGAATATCTACATTATATTGATAACGTGAATATTGACATTGAAGTAGATATTTACATCAATGTCAATATTTACACCATATTCACATCATATTTGATCACCTTTTAAATATTATACAGATTATGTATAATGGAATACACATTGAACCAAAAAAAAAGTTGATAATCATTCAAGATTAGGGGCTCTAATTGGTTTATAACTATCAACACGCAACAATACCAACAACCTTGTAAATATTTACATCATATTCCATTGATGTTAGAAATTGAATATCTACATTATATTCATAATGTGAATATTGACATTGAAGTAAATATTTACATCAATGTCAATATTTACACCATATTCACATCATATTTGATCACCCTTTAAATATTGTATAGATTATGTATAATGGAATAGACATTGAACCAAAAGAGAATTGACAATCATCCAAGATTAGGAGCTCTAATTGGTTTATAACCATCAACACGCAACAATACCAACAGCTCTGTCATATTTCATTGATGTTAGAAGTTGTAGGACAATCTTCATTGTATTTAAATAAATTAAATTCTGTTGTGTACTAAACAACAAACAGAATATAAAGAAATAAAGGAAATGAGAGAATTTGTTTGATTACAAAAATCAAACTCGAAATAAAAAATAAAATAAATAAAAACAGATTTTATTTTGTTACAAAAACAAAATTAAAATCTGATTTAAATAAATAACAATAACACTGAAAATAAATTAAATAACTTACTTGATTTAATTTGTTCGAATTATAATTTGATCAAGTCCAGTGTTTGACACTGTGCCCTTAAGACAGATTCGTCCTCTCCACGGTGCTTTCAGAATTTGGACGTCTCTCCCAAGATGAAATGATCTACTACAAACAATAGTAGCACTACAAATTGTTTGCCTTACGAATACACTAAGTGTTTGCACTCTTTCTTTCAGAAATTAAATGCAGCAAAATGCAGAGATTTATAGCAGAGGATGGAGTACGAAAAATTGGTGTAAAATCCAAATGGGAGGCTAGTCTACTTATAGATGTAAAGGTGGCTGCTGGTTTTGAATTGAACAAGTATGAAACCTGTTGGTTTTGAATTCAAACAGATTTGAATCTGTTGGGTTCATAATTTAAACAGATACAAAAACAGAAAGGGCCCTGTTTGGATGTACAGTAAAACCAAACTTGAATTTTGGATTTTATTTTATACAAAATAAAAGTCAAATGTTTTTGGCCGAACAAGCCCAACCCAACTTCACACCACGCACCCGCGCCCGACCGGACGGATGGCGACGAGCGCGTGTGGTGATTTTTTGGGTCCAATGGGTCTAGCCCATTTTGCCCATAACCTCTCCCTCTAAAACACTTGGGCACCCTTTGGAGCACACCCCAAGTACCAAACCCAAGCCTTATAAACCCATTCAAAACTTCCCACCAAATCAATGTGGGACAAGCCATTTTACAACCTGAAGGAATTTCTACCAAAACTCCATTTCCATATAACACACTTTGGCTTCAATTTTCCATTCACTCGGTAATGGTTTTGA